GGGGGGTTGGCAGCTGTGACGTTTCTCGGTAAACATAATGGAAAAAATCGATAGTTAGTTATCTTTGCAGAGTATAAAAAAGAAAACAATTTGATACAAACAGCAGTCTATATATTCGTAACACCATACCTGTTGTATACCTATACATTTATATTATTACGCCTTCTTTGCATTTGAAAACACTCAAATTTCAAGAAATACGCGCTAAAATTATCAATATTTCATGCAAAAAAAGTTGTTTTGAGAAACTTTGGAAATTTTGAAGTTCACATATAGAGTATGTCAGCAGAAGATGACATATTCCTCGCGGAAGCATCGCCAATAGCCGACCGAAAAAAATAGTAGAAAATTACCTTATGTGTACTATAAGAACAAAATATCGATAACTATGTGTGACGTTTCTAAGGGAGGGTGGGGGGGGGGTCTCCAGAGAAACGAACATATGACGTTTCTCATGGACAAAATCGATATGTGAGGCTTCCCTTAGCTAGGAAATCGTATGATGAAATACTCGATCACTAAAGAATTAAATAGTCATTACTTAATAAAGACTTTCTTCGCTTTTTCACACAATTCAAAGACTAATTTTCAACAAAATTAAAGACTTGCATTCAAATTTAAAGATTTTCAAGGATTTCAAAGATCGCTACGAACCCTGTTCAACGTTTCGAGCGAAGGCCCTTCGTAATTGGGAAGTTAGTGATGTTTGTCGTATACCTATGTTTATCATACCTGAAAAATAATTACAAATAAGTTACACGCGCATAGTTGCTTTGGATTTCAGAAGAGGAAAATATTTTCGAGAGGAAGGAGATAGCGGGGTGGGGGGGCAAGTGTCATACCTTGACTTGTTTTTATTGCTGACTTTTTTGGTGTTTCCTTCGAGGGAGTCCTTTTCCCAACTGCATGATTAAATTGAATTAAAAGTTCTCTGTCTGAAATTAACTTGTTATCAGTCGTAAAACCAAAACGAATAAAATATTTCCCGGTGTTCTTACGATGACGTGTCGATGATGGCAAGATAATCACAAGACATTTTGTTCGAATGGTCTCAGCATCAATGTCATCAATGCATATTCGTAATTTTTTTTCATTGTCCACACGCCAGAATAATTCGTATTGTTCCGACAGAAAACTGCCAATTTTATCTTGTACTCTCGAGGGTAGTTCATGTTTTTTAAAATACCAATGAATGACAGCTCTACAAGGTTCGTCTTGAGAATTGTCATTATACAAGTCTTGTATTCTACCTACAGCCTCCTCCTTCTCGCCTTCTATATCAATAATGACGTCGTCTCCAATTGATATTAATTCTTTGTTGACATAGCATGATCTGTAATGGAATATATTAGAATGGAATAGAGTAGCAACACATTTTACAGCGTCCGATTTTCTTCATAATGTGAAATTTTTATTTTATTTTTATTAATTATTATAATTTCTTATTAATTGTTATTTATAGTTACTTCTTATGAAATTTTAAAACAATTTTTACCGTTTTATTGTATTTAAGGGTACATTAATTACATTATTTACAGGTTTTGCTGAATGTTAAAATGATGACTTATTGTTAGTTGATTCATGATGTCATCAAAAAAGTATATCTGAGTATAGTTGATGATATCATCAATTCGACAAATCTCATGAGTGAGCAAATGCAGTTTTTTTGTTGAATATTATCATTGATGGTATATTGCAAGGGGTTTCAGTGGTACAGTCGTTAGAGCAAGCGCCTTTCACCTCTGATTCTCACTATGGGCACATGTGAAAAGAGAAAACTCGACATGGTGGGTCAGACTTCTATATTCAGACAACAACAATTTAATTGGTAATAAATAAAGAGATAAATGGTTCAAAAAGTTGCATCAATCAGAACTGATCTAGGTTGTAGGTACTGTTAGTAGGTACTGTACTGTTATAAACACTGTGATAGGGGCTGTTTAACATACTAGGTAACAGTAGTACAAACTTTGTGAGTTCTTTAAAGAGTGCACCATATGGCTCACAATTATGATTGGTAACTTGGCATAATATTGTAAATTATTTCTAGACAATTATTTCTGAGACAAATTAAGTAACCACTCACATATATAGTGCTGCTGAGTTTGCACAGCACTAAGGCCCAAAAAAATATGGGGGTTTCCAGTTTCCCGACCCTATCTAGGTTATGGTCACCAAAATCCCGACCCTAAACTTTTTTTTTGGATCATGCTTGAAAGAGTTTCCACGTAGATGAAAACGTTGGAAAATTTGAGGCAATATTAGGGAAATTTATCTTTGAATGTGGAAGCACCAACTAAACAAACATGGCATCCAGTTGTTAGGAAAATTAAAATAAGTTTTAAAATAAAGTTAAAACCAAAAGAAGAAATAGGAAACCCACATATCAGGGCTGCAATGTCCGACTAAATTTGGCAAATGTTCGAGCAAAAGTAATTTCGATCGGACATTGGTCAGATCACAAAAAAAAATTGTCACATACCTTCTTTTGCTGTGACAAAATCCGATTGCAAATTCAGTCAATTTGCATTTTGCAATAAAATTTACGAGGCATTCTACTTAACGTTGGGCCAGAATGGCTATACATACTTGTCTCGTGACTTATATATATCTTGTGACGTATATATATCCGACCAAATTTAGTGGTGTTGGTTTTTGTCCGACCAAAATCAAGTTATGTCCAACCAGAATTAAAGTGATTGGACAAATGTCCTGTCCAGTCAAATATTTATTTTCAGCCCTGCATATGATATTTTTTGGCCTAAGCAGAATTTATAGATAAGATAGAAAACTTTATTTAAACACGCTGACCCCGTCAACCAAAGCTGATTTCCATGAGGGGTGTGCAAAAAAGTATACAGAAAAGAATTTTAAAACTATTTATAAAATTATATAAGATATATTTAAGTTTAACATTCTCCGGTCTTTGCTAAATGACAGCTTACTAATATTGTTGGCCGCTTGATACAGTGGGACATATCTTGAAAATTACATGAAGATAGTCCAACAAAACAGTCTCTAGCAAAAACACTCAGGTTCTTTAATATGATTTCAATTGAATGTCCATACATAAAACACAACAAAGAAACAAAGGTGCAAAAACATCAGAAGTATATATACAAATCTTCCAGTGTGTTAAGTTTGTATCGCGCAGCGGATATCTCCGGCACGCAATTTTGATGCTTTCTATATAATATTATTTACTATTAAATTTTCGAAATCTCCGGCGCGCAATTTCCAAACTTTTCAGTCAGGCAAATCTTAACAAATGTCTATGTACAACATAACACAAGGCTTGTCGTCCGGTCCAGTTATGATCCAATGAGGTACAACCTCAGTACAACCCACAAATTTATCAGGATGACAGGATTCAGGTACAACCCACAAATTTATCATGGAGGAAAATAATGACAATATTTCAAAAGTGACATACCAATGTTTTCAAGCAGCAACAATACTTGTGTTACAAAGGGTACAATATTGTAAGAGAGATTAATTATTATTAATAGTTAAGACATTGTTAATTTATAAATTTTCAGTTCGCATGTCATATGTCCCTGCATGGGCCCCTGCCCTGGCCAGAGTAAAATAAGGAGGTTGCATAAAGGAGCAATATATTTGATACAGCTGCAGTAGCACTAATAGTTTATAGTACCAGGATACAAGCTAGTGTGTACAGTGTCACACAGTGTGCTGTAGTGTACTCATGTTGATGTACTGTACTTACGAGTACTTGATTATGGCTTTCTCTGATCTTCGCCGCTTTGAACCTCCTACAATTTCGTCCTGTGAAAGTACATTTCCCCATGCGAAGTCTGATTCGTCTTCCCAAGCCATCAAATTTAATTTAGCTTATTGGCGCTATAAATTTATCAATTTTCTACAAAAGTCAAAAATATAAAATTCTTCATTTTTTTCAAAAAGCACTTTCCTTCGCGCGCTAGACAATAATGAAACATTGATATGAGCGCTGGCTTGTGCATGCGGGCGCAAGAGTAAAGTTAGCGCCATTTTTAAAAATACACAAATGAACGATGGAGGAACTGTTCAATAAATTGCTTCTTGTTTCTCTGAGAAACTCATCACGCGAGGACAGGTTTGTGCTACAATAATAAAACTATTACATGTGCTTCTTATGATTATATTTATTTGTCTACTAATGATAATTTGTTGCCTATTTAGGCGTGTTCGCTTGAGGGTTTCTGTTGCCATTCACTCACAACAAACAAGAGGAAAGGTATAGTATTAATGTATAATATTATATATAAATAATAGATGATTTAATATAAAAATAGAATTAGTCCCAGAATAATTATTAATGGATTAAATGGTAAAAGAATAGTAAGGTCAGAAACATTTCAAAATTTTTTAAACAAAGCACCAATAAAAGTAACCCTGTAAATTTCCAGGTTGGAAACCAGGGTTGTTTACCATTTACATGGAAATTCCGGTGATTCCATACGGAAAGTAAATGGAACAAGCATATTTCGACGGCCCAACCAGAACTTTTCCAGAATGAACGGTTTGTTTGAAAAGGTTGTCCTCTCTTACCGATTGGAACATGTTGTGCACATAGCCAGCGGGCTCATGACCTGTGCACGTTCTAAATTAAGATTCTTGGCGGGGGGGGGGGGATGCGGTAGCAGGTGTGTGGCAGTGAAGGTTAGAATTTCTGAATTCACCAATTATTTAGTTGTTACTAACCGTAGTACTAGTCGAAACTAGATATTAAATTATAGATAACGTATGTTCTGAAAATCCAAATTTTTTGTGCACCAATAACAGAAGGAAATTGTGTGCACCAATGAGCAATTATTGGGGATGTTGTGCACCAATTTGTGCACCGATAGTAGTCTTTGTGCATGGCATATGTGCCATGCACATTGCCTTCATTCCATACTGGGCTCCAGCTGGAAAATCAGATTAAGAAATGTGAGAATTTGCATAGAATCAGCGTTCGTTTATACAAATTATGGCAACACTGAATTTTTTGAAAGTAGATATAATATGTGAAGTCATATCTGTTGTGTCAAACCATATTGGCAAATTGCAATAAGCTAGCTATTATCATGTCTGATCTGTCTATCACAAGAAGAGTTGTAAATCTTAATGCATGACCATGTTTTGATACATTGCACCATGTCAGCTTCCCTTGGAGACAAAATTGAGGCCGAATATTATCAGCCATTATCTGGTTATAGACTTAAATATCCTGTGTGTGGTGAACCAACAGAGATTTGAACTGAATGCAACTGGAGCTCAAAGTTTGCACAGCAATTTAGTTGCAATCTGTGAAAATTTTAGGCTGGTCACCAGAGGTTCATGCCAACAAGCCAAGTGCTGACTGCTGGAGGGGAGGGATTTTGGTCTGAAAGCAGATTAATATACTTAAAAATGGACAATTTGTCACTGGCTTGCCTGCCTTAGTATAATGTATTTTTTTTATGATATTAAATAAATGTTGATTACAGGTAAGAGAAATTACCATAGCATTATTGATATTTTTGGTCAATGAGGCAAATGAGTTCTGTGTTTCTTTTGACTATAGTACAGTAGATACTTGTTATCAGATGCTATACACCCGCTAGGCATTCTCAGCCCCAGACTCAAACCGATTGGTGTCACTAATGTAAGCATTGTGGCTATACAGCTTAGAGTGAGGCGTTCCATTCCTTTCAAAGTTTCCAGCTATTGAAATTGCACATTTAAGAGTGATTTAAGCAAAGAAATGTGCACACAACCTCAAATTTCTTAATTTAATTAATGAGGTTACATAGTAACCAAGGTTAATATCGCAGGAACCGCGCACAGTCTGGGTACGACATGTGCCCTCAGGATATCGGATATAGAGAGTGCCAAGCAGACTCTCAGGTCATTAGCTAATTCATAGCCAACTGCAATAGTAATCTGCTTAGAGAAGAAGCTATCACTTTGGTGGTCAGGTCCTGAAATATGGACAGGTTCACGTGATTCGGACCTGAATCCAAGTAACTCAAATCCGTAGATCATCAGCTGACCACGTCTGCACCTATAACCATCCACACGGGTAAGTATGGTGACGACAGATATTAATATTTATTAATTTAATAGTTTAATGAATTTGTCACAATTTACATACGTACAAGCAAGCAATACTGACACTGGAATGTTACACATTCTTACAAATAACATGTGACTGGAGAAAGGAACATGACTTGCATCCCAATTGACACCTGCATGGGGCCGGTTGTATCAAGCCTGTTTAGCTTAAACAGTGGTTATAGAGCTCAAAATAGAAAACAAGTCTATTATTATAGATTCATTCAACAACCAAACTAAAAGTTTTGAACCTTAACAGAACGATAATGTTTACAACTACATATTCAGTGCACAATATTTAAGCTGACTGATTCACGAGAGATATAAGAGTGATATTTAATTTTGACTTATCCACCGTTTAAGCTAAACGGGCTTGATACAAGTGGCCCCTGACCCCTAAACTATAGTAAATAAGTAAATAACCACATCAATTAATTAGATAATCTAGTAATTACTAACAAATGTGTGTATCAACAGAGCGGGCAGTAAAATGGTAATTTTGCTCTGTAATATCTATGTGGACCGCTTCTAAATATGGATATTGGGACGTACGATTTCAGATCAGCTGGAAGACTATTCCACAGATTCACCGACCTAATAAAGAACAAATTTTCAAAGTCTTGTTTATGCTTCGATCAGGTTATTTTTGTCGTAATTACGTCGTGATTTATACCGGTAGCCGTCATGATTTTCTTGAATGCATGATCAAAGAGCAAATAAATGTTGCACATATAGTGTGCACATTACTTCAATTCCCAAAAATAAACACATCACTCATCAGCTTGACACATGACATATGCACAGAATATCTTAGAATTGACAGAATACATGGTGTGATTATTTGTGTGACACATTGTGTGACACTGGATCAGAATCGGATCACCAGTGCAGTGGTAAGATCGAACATTTCAGAATCATCCTCAGAGATACGAAAAACCAGTTTCATATTATTTTGACACATCAATCGATCGACCAATTTTTTGTTGCTCGATTGCAGTGTCAGAATAATATGAAAAAGATTGAACATGCAAAAGAACATTCTACAATCCATTGAAAGACCTTTTTCGGTCATTTTTCGTTTCATCCGAGAGATTTATATATTCAAGCATTTTAGTCTTGACTACTACCACTTTTTTGGAAGAAGATTGAGTTTTTAAAACTAATAGTGGAAGAGCATGCACTTACCCACTTCCATCAAAACCTCCTAAAATTCTTGATTGTGAAACTGAAATAACATTCCCGCATTAATATAACCACTTTTGAGCAAAAATATAACCGTTTTAAAACAGATTTTTAGTGGCGTGTTGTAATAATAATATGCAAATATATAATATTCATTTAATTATAGACCTACAGTACAGTACAATTAACCAAGAGCACTTAGGAAAAATGCAACTGTAGCAGGGTACGGCCCTCTGGTGTAAAGTATTTGAATTGATAACGTTTAAGAAGTTAAAAAGTTATAATTTGGCGCTATAGTATTAAGATTTATAACAGGCGGTCATTGCAGCAAAGTTATCTACTCCTAAGTCTAATTTACTGCTACGGACATCGACAAATCGCTGTAGTCGTATTCTTAGATTTTAACATTAGAGGGGTTCAGATTCGATTACCGCTACCTCTCTCTGGCTTAATTCACGTCTGATTGGTTAATCGGATACATCAAATGCATTTGATTGGCTATGCTTTTATCATGACCTTTATCACAGAACAGCGCTCCATTTCTAATAACTCCGGCAACTAAACGTCATCCTGTATATCATTGTTATTGAATGGTTTATATACGAATTTTTCTGTGTTGGTGTTGTGTACTCAGGTGAATAATATGTTTGCGATGTTACTCTGAGTGCATATCCACACCGGGCGAGCTTGAAAAATTTGCCCGGCCACGGTGGGATTCGAACCTACGACCTTTGGAATACCAGCCCAATGCTCTTCCAACTGAGCTACGCGGTCAGGACGGTTCGATTTGGGCTGGTATTCCAAAGGTCGTAGGTTCGAATCCCACCGTGGCCGGGCAAATTTTTCAAGCTCGCCCGGTGTGGATATGCACTCAGAGTAACATCGCAAACATATGGTTTATATACGTTAATCTCGACGTTAATAATCGTACATAATAAATACATACTCGGAATAGTCCAACAAACAAATTTGAATTTAATGCAATCCGCGGAGCTGTATGTACA